TCATCAGGCAGGCCTAGGTTCAAATCCAAGCTCTCCCTTGTACTGGTAATGTATGTTACCTGGTATTCCTCCCCTCCTTACTTCCTAGTCATATGTTCATCAAAGGCCTATGACATCCATGTCAAGCTAAGCTCGAGTTGAGGAACACACCAGTTAACTCCACAGTCCCTGTGTTCCCAGGGCACCCAGTCTGTTGGAAAATGCAGACCATGAAAGAGGCAATTACAATGTAGTTTGAGAAGTGCTATGACGGGAAGTAGCAGCTGCTATGGGATCACCTCTGCGTGATGTGATCCCTGTTCAATACAGGAGCTGCTAACCAGAGGCCAGTGCTGCAAGTGTAAACTCCATGCTGGATTCTGAAGACCTAGTACACCCCGAAAAATGTGACGTATCTCATTAGTAATATTTTACGTTGATTACATGTTGAAATGATAGTGTTTGGACTATGTTGAGTTCAAAAATATTTTACTTAAACTAATTTCTTCTGTTCTTTTTTACTCTTTGTATGTGGCTACTAGAAAATTTGAACTTGGGATTTGCATTGTATGTCTATTGAATGCATTGCTTCAGAAAAATAAAAATGTGGGATATTTCCCATGTTAATGAAATGATTCAAGAATGTTTGTCCTGTGACCTCCCCAGGGAGACACGTAAGAAATGCTTGATGTGTAGGAGCTTCTCTCCCTCCACACGTTACCTAAGTGGCCACTGTTGGGAGGGTTGTTCACTGTGAGAGCCTCACTTCTCTGACGCTGTGGAGAAGGTGATATGGCTGGAGAACTCCTTGTTTAGCCTCTTTGAGGATTTCTGACCTTCTGGGTTCTACATCTTCACAGGTTATTTTTGTAACACCCCCCCCCCTAAAAAAAAGGAAGAAAGAAAAGGGGGAAAAAAGAAAGAAAGAAAAAAGAAAACTAGGTCTGGCAATCAGTTGTAATAATTGTTGCTTGTTGCCACGGTTGCTAGCCATCCTTACTTTTCCTTGTTTTAGCAAAAGAAAGTCATATTAAATATCTAGTGAAGCCTACTTTTCCATATCTTTATTGGATTAAAAGAGGACTTTGGATTAATGGTAAGGCTATTAGATTCATGGAACTAGGAAGGGTCTTGGGATTTGAGTAGTTCTACTCAGATGCTCACTCTGGGCTTGCCTAGGGTAGCAGAGTCAACCAAAGCAGACAGGCCTAGACCTCCTCCTCCAGATCCCCTCATTCCACGTGCATCTCCACACCACATTGCCTGTTCTTGTCTGAGATGCTCCTTTCCCCACTCCTCCCTCCCAGCAGCTCCTCCTGCTTGGTATCTATTCCTCTTCTGCTGTTGGCTCTCTCTGACCCAGTGTCTTTTCCGGTAACAGAAATGGAAATCAAAAAGACAGTGACAGATTAAAGGATGAGCAGATATCAACAAAACAAAATAGAACAGAAAAAAAAATTTAAATCAACACTTAAGAAATGAAACCAGGGAGAACTTTCTGGTCAAACAGTACTTTAAGTGAAAAGGCAGCATGGGTGTGTTTGGAGGAGTACTTGGAATTGCAGGTTCAGGGCTGAGGCCTGATTGTGTGACCTTGGGAAAATCTTAGTTCCTTTTTTTTTTTTTTTTTACCTGGGATTGAACCCAGGTGTGCTTAATCACTGAGTCACATCCCCAGCCCATTTTCATTTTTATTTTGAGAAGGGTTCTCGCTAAGTTGTCCAGGCTAGATTTAAACTTGCAATTCTCCTGCCTCGTAAGCTGCTGGGATTACAGCCATGTGCCACCATGCCAGGCTTAGTTCCTTCATTTTTTTAATATTTATTTTTTAGTTGTAGTTGGACACAATACATTTATTTTATTTGTTTATTTTTATGTGGAGCTAAGGATCGAACCCAGAGCCTCACAAGTGCTAGGCTAACGCTGAGCCACAACCCCGGCACTGTTCCTTCATTTTTAATCAGCACCACTGGGTGGTTGTGAGGAGCAAAGGAGAGCATGCTTCTAAAAGGACTTTGTCATCTGGAAGCATCATAGCAATTGTTATGGTTGGAATGTAGTCTGTGCCCCAAGGTTTCAGGTGTTGCTTGGTCTTCAGTGTGTGGTATAGAGATTGTGGACCTTTAAAAGGTGGAGTCTAATGGGAGGTGGTTAGGTCATTGGGGGTGTTGCCCTTGGAAGAGATTAAGGTAGCTTTCATGAGACTCTGATTAGTTCCCACAAAAGTGAATTGTTATAAAAGAGCAAGTTTGATCCCTCAGATCTCTCTGAAGACCTGTCTCACCATGAAATGTTTTCCATACACATTCCTACCATTGTGATGCCATTTGCCATAAGACCCTCACCAGAGCCTAGCAGTAGCCAGTGCCATGTTCTTGAACCTCCAGAATTGCAAGGTAAATAAATCTCTTGTCTTTATAAGTATCCAGCCTCAGGAATTTTGTTATAGCAACAGAAAACTGACTAAGACACCAGTGGTAGTTATTGTCATTCATAAGAGTATAGAAGATTTTTGTCAAATGTGAGAGCAAGATGAATTAACAGGGTGATATGGTTGTTAAAGAAAGCTAATGTAGTATCTAGAGCAAGGGATGCGGCTCTGTAATTATCCATCTGTTTCTGGGGCACTGTGTATTGTTCAGTTCTGGGAATCACATTTTAAGAGGGACGTTGGCAAACTGTTGTTGTTCCAGAGAAAGTTGTGAGAGTAGCTTAGGGTTTAAGAGTTATAACATATAAGAAATGATTTAAGGATATGGAGGATGTTTAGTCTGGAGGAAGAAAAGTAAAAAGACTTAGCTAGGACAAGGTAGCTCTTTCTAAATATCTGAAGGCTGTTCTGCACAATAGAAGTTTCTTCTCTGTTGCAAATGGCCAAGCCAGGACCTAATGGTGGAAATTTCTGGGAGGTAGGTTTGGGTGCAATAGGAGCCTATCTAAAGCTCAGAGAGCTGCTCCTAAGTGAACTTCCTGAGAAGGTAGCAAGTCTTTAAGCATAGGGGCTATGTATGGGACAAGGGGTTGTTTACAGGAGTTCTGTTTTGGGTAAGAAGTTGGATCAAGTGATCCTTCCAATTTGAAGACCTCAATGTTCTTCTGATCTCTCTGATCTTTCTTTCTGATCTGCTTCCCTCTCCTTTTCTGTTGCCTTTGTTGACTTTCTGCTCCCTCTGTGAATTACTTTGGGGTTTTAGATTCAGAAATATTTCCGTAATAATTGATAGTCTGGTTAATGAAAAGTAGGAGGGAGGAACATTAAAAACAAAGACAGTTTTGTTACTCCAAAGGGTGCACGGTAACCTGTTCAGTGGGGGATGGAGCAGGAACATGATCATATGAGTTGGAGACTCCTGTAAATACTACAGCGAATGAATAGGCATCATTTATTCTTAGCTATAGTTCCAAATGCAAACACAACCACTAAAGGCTTTTGCTTTTGAATGGACTGACATTTTCCTTGTTTACATAATTCTTTTGTTAGCTACAGAGATTCAAGAAAAATCTCACTCTGAGAATTCTCTATCATGAACTACTTTTTACCGTCCTAAGTGTTTTGCTGATTTGGTGATAGCCTATTCTGAACAAGAGGTGTTTTCTTGATTTCTTGACACAAGAAAAACCATTTTCCAGAAAGAAATATTTTTCATGCATAGTTAGTGTTGCAGCAGGATGAGTGTGAAGCTCGCTGGATCTCTGCAGATGAGTGGGTAGCTGAGCTATTTCTAGTATTTTTTTCTGCCCCGTGTAGCAATTATGGATGTGTTTCACAGTGCCCCACCTTGGACTTCCCAACCATCATTTCAGAAACCTCCACCTAGTCAAAATAAAACTTGGCAGATCCAGGTGGAAGGAGGGGGAAATGGGCAGAAAAGAGTAACAACATCTTGGTCAACTTCCCTGAGGTCAGAGTCTTTGCCCAGCTCTAAAAAGGACAACAAGGACATGGAGGAGTCTGAGGATTCAGGGCATGAGTTCTGAGGCTTCTGGAGCCTTGTTGGTCAATTGTGGTAGAAAGAGCTTGGAGAGACAAGAGTAATGGCTCTTTAGATCCAGGAGCCTGGCCAACAGCACTGCAACCATGGTTATCCTCCAAGGCTGGCTACCCACAGCAGGTCCAGCTCCTGAGGCTGCCTTGCGGAGCCCACTTCTCCTTGTCCAGTCCTACCCAAGTGAGACTTTGAACCCTTGGCTCAGGACAACTGCAGCCTGTAGACTAGTGGGTGGTTTTGCTCCTGGGTCTGAATTCTGGGGTGAAGTGAAGCCCCCAGCCTGCCTGGCTTCCCATTCTCTCTTTTCATTCCAGACCTGCTTCCTCACCAGACCTCTTCTGCCTACAGGCACTTGTGGGTAGACTCTAGGTTCTGAGCTGCTCTAAAGCTGGGACTTATCTTGTTCCTCTGAGAATGGTCCTGCCTCCAGCAGTGCATGGTGCAGTGGGTGCCAACTTCCATAGGCACAATGTCCATCTGGAACCCCAGCTTATAAAATATCAGGTTTCAGAGTCCCACTCTTAGATGTCATGCCTCAGGAGGTCTGGGTGGGACGCAGGAATCTGGAGCCCAGGTATTTCTGATCTAAGCAGTCCATGGGCCACGCTTGGAGAAACACTAGTTTTGAGGAAAGACCTTGAATTTGGGGGTATGAGAGAGAACTGGGTTACTTGTGTTACTTGCTGGGCAAGTTAATCATCGTTTTTGAACTTCTGTTTCACCATCTATAAAATGCTCACCACTTCACAAGGGAGTTTTCAGATGTCAATGTGATGATGTATATAAAGTGTTTAGCGGGGCTTATTAAATAGGGGTTTTGGCTTCCTTTCTCTCTCCTTCAACACCAAGAAAGTGGCAGCAGAGAATTTCAATTCCTCTCAGCCATGGCATATCAGAGGTACCTTCCTGGCAGTGTGCAACTGTGAAAAGGTTACAGAAGAGTCCGGGCAGGATGCACATCCCCAGAGTTCTGTAGCAGATCAGCCAATCCTGGTTTCTCAAGAAATGACATGGAAAGAAACCATCAGGAGGTCAGGGGCCAATCATCTGCTGTCATTTTTATTTGCAGTAAACCACAGAGTCAGGACACACACACACACACACACACACACACACACACACACACAGTGCATTACAGAACAAGTCCACAGCACTCTGTGCAGGCAGACAGGCAGGCTTGAGCAGGCAACCGCTGTTAGGGAACAACATGTCCATGGTGGGGGAGGGAGTGGAGGTGGGAGAGCAGGGAGGGAAGGACCCTGGCACTGTGCTAATTAGTTTCTGCTGCAGTCTTGGCTGGTAAAGTCTGCATTTATAGATTGCAGTTGAAGTGTGTTAGGATCTTTAGCTGTGCCCAGGGTCACCCCCAAACATGTGGGATTTGTGAGTTCCCTAATGGGAGCAATGCGTTTTCTTGTGGGATTGAACTCTCTCCCAACTTGTTGGCAAGTAGAAAGGGCCAAAAGAAGTTTGGTACACAAAAGGGAAAACACTTACATTTCAGGATTTGGTGTGTGTGTGTGTGTGTGTGTGTGTGTGTGTGTGTGTAGGTGGAGGGCTTACTGAAGAGTTTCTTTGTGGTGTTTCATATTGGGCTTCCCAAATGAACTGGTTTCCAAATATATTCGATTGTCAAGAGGAAAAGAAAGTCGATTCTTGGCTGAGGGGCTAGGAGGAGCCCTTCAGTGTCAGCAGGGCTGGGGGAAGCCTTGGGTCTGGTGGGAAACCCAAGAGGACAAGGAACCTGCCTTCTCTCCTATGGCTGCAGCATTTATCCCAGGGGGAGGCAAAATCACTGATGCAGGATGGTCTTTAGAGCTCCCTCACTTAATAGGTGGTAGAAAGAGAGGTCTCAGAAGGCTAAAGGTCATGTCCAAGACCACAAGGCTGAGATAGGACTGTAGCCTACTCCCCATGTTGCTCTTGTTTTTCTAGGCAGGGCTTCATCCCTCATCCCCTCATGGGATGTGGATTGGCTCCTTTCCCCAACAACTTCCATGGAGCATTTGACCAACTTTTCCAAGATAGAAGGCTCTCACTTGTTTTCTGCAGAGAGAGAAAAGCACCCATCAGAACACCCCCTCATCAGGCTTCTCAGAATTGTGTTATTGGCCAACAAGAACTCTTTCCCTAAGATACCCACCAAGCCTTAAGGTCAATGGCACAGAGAAGCATAAAAGTTTACTTCTTCCCATTCTATGGAGGAGGACAGCTGTGCTGGAAGCTGGGTCAGCAACTTGCTGTGAAGCCTCTTCTCTGTAGCTGGGTCACCTGCTTCTTGCCATCTGGAGAAGAAAGAAACACAGTGCTGTAGATTTTGAAGTCAGCCTTTTTATTGGGTAACTGACACACTAGGTCACACTGTCTCTCTCAAGACTGTAGACTACCTTGGCAGGTTGGCACTGATCAAAAAGGACAACATCTGGAGCATCAGGCTCTGTCCAGGCATACACTTCACTGATTCCTACCCAGGGGCCTGGGGAAAAGGCTTTGGAGAATAACTCTCTGTATTATGCAGGAACAAGGGCCAAGTGAGCACTTGTCATTCAGCTACAATCAACAAAGAGCAGGCCTTGCGCTGTGCTGACTACCAAATCCATGTGAAGGGTTGGATTGATATGTAAGTATGGGCCTTTACAACCCTAGGGGGCTGATCCAGAACTCCCTGATCATTGGACTTTTCACCTTAATTGAGATGGTCTGTTAGAAACTGTGACTGCAGTAGGGCTCTACAAATGAGCTTGCATTTGTTTTGTTGATTTTACAGAAACCAAACTCACTGAGTCTATTGTTTTTATACTAATATCCTCATGGCATGATATTCAACTATGTCATTAAACTTTCCAAACATGCTGTACCCATAAAGCACCCTATGCCTGTGATGTGACTCAAGAGGTAGAGAAGGAGAATAGTACTGAACAGAGGGATTTCGGTTGGACACCAAGGACAGCTGTCTATGGGAGAAGCTGTGAGATACCAGGTACATCCTGAAGCTGGGATCTGGAGTGTGTCCTCTGATCTTTCCTGGGCCTTTTAAGTATAAGTATGCTGGAGGTAGCAAAGTGGGCAGATGTTTCTCTAAAATCCCTTCTGATCTTCTGGATTTTTTTTTTTTTTGTATGAACACTCTACACAAACAAACAAAAATCATGGGGGCTATGAAGAGTGAAGAGAAACATCATGAAAATAAAAGGAAAAGTGGAAGAAATCATTTTTCGGGGTGGGTAAGGGTAGGAAAAGATAGAGAAGAGATGAGGCATGTTAAGAGATTAAGGCACAGTGCTTGGCAAATAAACATTGTTTAAAAACAAATTATTTGTTGATGAATCAATAAGTGCATGCATGAATCATTCTATCCAGCCTCCATTCTGCATGTGGGAAAAAGCACAATATAGTCTGAGTGGCCCAAGTCCCTATTATTAATTGGCGTCATTGTAGAAACTAGAGTTGGCCCTACTCAAGAAGTTCAATGCTGAGCAGAGGGAGAAGGGTAGGTTTCCCCACCCACTGCTGTGGGTGGGAAGTGCCCTCGGAACACAGCTGTGAAACTGAGGAAGGAGAAGGGGTGAAGGCTGTGACCTTGTGTCCTCCTTGACAGAACGGCAGGGCTGCCAGGCCCAAGGTAACTGAGTGGGGCGTACAGCATTGAATAGGGCCTCAAGGTCTTCCTGCTTCCTTTCCTTTCTCCAGTGGCAGAAGAGTCAAATCCTGACACAAAACTGCTCCTTCTCTTCTTGGAGGCCATGTGAAAATATCCCCTGAATTTGGAGGTTGGCTCATGGATTCCTTGCTTTCTCTCATTCTGCACCTCTCTGAGTTTCCTGAGTAGTTTCCAGAAGTTTCTTTCCTCCTTCAAGAAAATGTAGTTTGGGAATGGATGGGAATTCTCACCAGATCAACTGGAGGCAGGATCCATTTCCTGCAGAGAACCTGCCTTTGAGATCATTTCTTCCTCTCTGGAAAGACTGAAATTCCCATCTATTTTGCTCTTCCCTTTGCCTTAGTCCTGCTGACAGACATCTTGGAAAGGACCCTGGAGCTGGAGTCCTCTGAGATGCTAAGGAGCCTTGGCCTTCAGGCTCCCCGTTTCCCCCTCTTTTCTCTCATTGCTTCTCTGCAGTGACCCAAAAGGGGATGGCCGTGTGATGGACAACAGCTGACTAAAGGTGGGGCCTTGACACATTCAAATGAATTTTGTGTTTTGAGTTCCCAATTTCCCCCTCAGGAAGTTGTGCCCAATGGAATCACTGGGAACTAGGAGGAAACACTGTGCTTTCTCCTTCCTGCTACAAAGTGACTGATGAGCACTGGGTGCAAATAGGCCTCTCTGTTCTAAACAGAGAGAAAGAGAGAGAAAGAGAAAAAAAAAAAAAAAAAAAAAAAAAAAAAAAAAAAGAATCACACTGCCTAAGCAAGGCAAATGCAAGTGTGCGGAGACCCAGCCTGCCATCCGTCTCGGGAAGACCTGCCAAGAGCTCTTATATAAGCTCCAGTGAGCTCATGTGTTTTCACGCCCATCAGCAGATCCTGAGCTTCAGGGGCAGGGGTTAGATAGGAGGAGGGAGCTTAGAAGAGATGTGTTCTTATGAAGAGGGGGTGCTCCGGGAAGAAAACATGTTATCACACTCAGGATAATGAAAGCGATTTTCCTCTCTGTGCCAGTCAATGTAGACTTACATCCCTCATGGTGTCCATGTGAGGAAAGCAAAGAGTGCTGGATCTCATGAACCCCATGGTGTGGGGGCAGCGGTGGGAGAGGTGGGGTGTTTAATGAGAAAAGGAATGCAGATGTGCACTTGGGGTATGGATGAGAAAGGTTTCCTCCTTATGTTTGAGGAATCAGATGGGCCTAGTGAGGTCCACCATTCACAGGCTGAGAGTCAGGCTTTGATTGAGTATCAGGCTTTGGTCTCCAGTTGATGGTGCTACCTAGGCTATGCTCAAATGGGAAACTTTTATTTCATTTATTGACTGAGGCAGGCTGAACATTTTGGAACCTACTGTTACTGGTGTCACCTGCTTCCCTTTCATGGGCAGAATCACTAAGCCATTGGATCTCTGAGAACAAACTAACCAACCACCTTACCCACCATCTTGTCCAGAACACCTGCAATCAGCTCACTCTGGTCCCTGGGGCAAGCATGGCTTATACTTTGTGTATTGAAAATCATCTCTGCATAAATGAGCCAAGACTTTTCAACCAGGCTTCCCAGACATTCTCTCGGGGGTTGACACACTTCTAGTTCAGCTGTGCTCCAGTGGAGGGGGAGAGAGATCTGTCTGTATATCTCAGTAGCCGACACCCTCCCCCAGTCTAGTTTCACAATCTTCACATGATGAGGTGATAACTATCTGTGTTTTATATGAATAAATGAACCTGTAGATATGATGTTCTATTGTTCTAAGCTTTTCAAAATAATATGGTGCCCAGTCACTCAGTACCTAACACTGTAAGCAATTTTTGTTTCAGAAATAAGAACGTGATTTTTTTTCAGGTGAATTTGTTACGCCTTTAAGTGTTTCACGTTTTTCTCTTGGCATGATGAATGCTTATAACATTATCTAATGATTTTTGGGAATTTAGTTAATATGCCATTTACTTTCCTCTTTCCAGCTCAACCAGGACTGTTTTGAATACAGCTAAGATCTTCCTTGGGTTCCACTCAAAACTTTCTTCTCATGAATGATTGGGTGATGCCTTGATCAATATCTATTTATTTCATTCCTGACTTGATTCGTTCAGTTGGGAAATAACTGAGCTCATATACACAACACCTTGAATTCTCCTCTAGCAACACGGATGATACGCACAATCTTTTAAAGCTTAAGAAAGGATCTTCCCCGCCCATGAGGAATGGTGGAATAAATCTGACCAAACTTCCCTGTGTACAAATATGAAAACACCAAGGTGAATCATACCTTTATGTATATCCATAATGCACTAATTTAAAAAAACATAAATAAATAGAAGAAAAATCACTAGAATAGAGGAAGGGAAGAGAGGAAGGGAGGAGGGAAGGAAAAGGCAAAGTATTGGGGACTGAAGTGGAACAAATTATATTCCATGGCTTGCATTAATTATGTGAAAATGAACTCTAATATTATTTATAACTAAAATGAACTCATAAAAATTACTTTAAAAAGGAAAGAATCTCTCATGGTGAGGCATGCTGGAATATTTTGGTGTGAGATGTCATGATACCTATCATTTACCTTCAAAATTTTCAGTCAGAAAAAAATAAAAGGTGAAACAGGTATGGCAAATGTTAATGATTGTTAAATCTAAATGATGGGTACATACTCAAGGTTATACTTTTTAGTATATTTGAACTTGTTCATAAAAAAGAAATTATTTCCAGATGTTCTAGTTCCAAGGCGTATGTTCAGCCTGTAGAGCCGTTAAGAGGCAGACAGGGAGTAGATGTGGGGGTGAAGGTTGATGAAGATTACCTTAATGCCTAGGCGCAGAAGGGTATGAAGGTAGTGAATCCCAAATAGCAGGTCAGTGACACCCTCTATTATTAACACCTCATGCACATTTGGTTCTCTGAGTTAAAAGATCTAGTGCTCAATCCTTTTACCTCAGGGATGTTGGGGAGAGAGGAAATATTCACCAGGAAAACTTTTCTTGAAGATCATGTCATATTTTGGCTACTGATTGGTGGTACCAGTTTTCTTTAAAAAATAAAAAAAGACACAAAAAAAAAGTTGATTAATCACTTGGCAGGTACTATTGTGTAGCCCCTCAACAGAAAAGGTAGACTTTCTGGAAATTTCTTCTGGATTGCCATTTATTTATTGTAGGATTTTAAAATTCCTTTTCTATTATCTAAGGTAAAAAGAAATTACCATTTTTATCATCCTTCCTTTTGTCATTCTTCCTAAGCCTCCATTTTTAAAAGAATTTCATTGTTTCGAAAGGAAAAAATGTTCAATTTTTCGCATTGCTCCAGAGGCAATCTTTTTTTTAATCCCAAATCATGACTCACCCAACAGAATTTGTAAAAGGACACTTCAAATCTTCATTCCACCCTTAGATATCAGTTACTGAATTCTAATGTCTGTCTGTCTGAACTCTTTTCATTGCCCTTGATCTTTACTACATCTCCGTGAATCTTTAATGCTGTGTGAATACTTGATCCAGATGAGTTCTTCACTGGGTATCCATTCTTGGCCATTTCTTCTCTGAGAAGTCTTAGGACACACTCCAGGTGGTGCCTGGGAGTGAGGACCTAAGAGGAAGGGAGGAGAGAAGGTGCACATGGGCCTTCTGATTCCCATAACT